ATAGAATTCACCTGTGAAGCCATCTGGTCCTGGACTTCTGTTTGTTGGAAAATTTTTAATTACGGTTTCAATTTCATTACTTGTGATAGGTCTGTTTATATTTTCTAATTCTTCCTGGTTCAGTCTTGGAAAGTTGTGCCTTTCCAAGAATTTGTCCATTTCTTCATGGTTGTCCATTTTATTGGTATATAGTTGTTTGTAGCAGTCTCTTATAATCCTTTGTATTTCTGCAGTGTCAAGTGAGATTTCTCCGTTTTCATTTCTAATTTGATTGATTTGCATCCTCTCCCTTTTTTCTTGATGAGTCTGGCTTTATCTTCTCAAAGAACCAGCTTTTATTGATCTTTGCTATTGTTTTCTTCATTTCTATTTCATTTATTTCTGCTGTGATCTTTATGATTTCTTTCCTTCTACTGACTTTGGGTTTTCTTTGTTCTTCTTTTTCTAGTTGTTTTAAGTGTAGGGTTAGATTGTTTCTTCGAGACTTTTCTTGTTTCTTGAGGTGAGATTGTATTGCTATAAACTTCCCTCTTAGAACTGTTTTTGCTGTGTCCCATCAGTTTTGGGTTGTCGTGGTTTCATTGTCATTTGTTTCTATGTATTTTTAAATTTCTTCTTTGATTTCTTCAGTGATCTCTTGGTTATTTAGTAGTGCACTGTTTAGCCTCCATGTATTTGTGGTTTTTTACAGTTTTTTTCCTGTAACTGATTTCCAGTCTCATAGCATTGTGGTCAGAAAAGATGCTTGATATGATTTCAGTTTTCTTAAATTTTCCAAGGCTTGATTTGTGGCCCGGGATGTGATCTCTCCTGGAGCATGTTCCGTGTGCACTTGAGAAGAAAGTGTATTCTGCCACTTTTGGGTGGAATGTTCTATAAATATCAATTAGATCTATCTGGTCTATTGTGTCATTTAAAGCTTGTGTTTCTTTATTTATTTTCTGTTTGGATGATCTGTCCATTGGTGTAAGTGGGGTGTTAAAGTCCCCTACTATTATTGTGTTACTGTCGATTTCTTCTTTCATGGTTGTTAGCATTTGCCTTATGTATTGAGGTGCTCCTATGTTGGGTGCATAAACATTTATAATTATATCTTCTTCTTGGGTTGATCCTTTGATCATTATATAGTGTCCCTCCTTACCTCTTGTAACAGTCTTTATTTTAAAGTCTGTTTTATCTGATATGACTATTGCTATTCCAGTTTTCTTTTGATTTCCATTTGCATGGAATATCTTTTTCCATCCCCTCACTTTCAGTCTGTATGTGTCCCTAGGTCTGAAGTGGGTCTCTTGTACACAGCATATAGATGGATCTTGTTTTTGTAACCATTCAGCCAGTCCGTGTCTTTTGGTTGGCGCATTTAGTCCATTTACATTCAAGGTTATTATCGATACGTGTGTTCCTATTACCATTTTCTTAGTTGTTTTGGGTTTGTTTTTGTGGGTCTTTTTCTTCTCTTGTGTTTCCCTGCTTAGAGAAGTTTCTTTAGCATTTCTTGTAAAGCTGGTTTGGTGGTGCTGAATTCTCTTAGCTTTTGCTTGTCTGAAAAACTTTTGACTCCTCCATCGAATATGAATGAGATCCTTGCTGGGTAGAGTAATCTTGGTTGTAGATTTTTCTCTTTCATCACTTTAAGTGTGTCCTGCCACTCCCTTCTGGCCTGCAGAGTTTCCACTGAAAAATCAGCTGATAACCTTATGGGGATTCCTTTGTATGTTATTTTTTGTCTTTCCCTTGCTGCTTTTGATATTTTTTCTTGGAATTTAATTTTTTTTTATTTTGATTATGTTTCTTGGTGTGTTTTTCCTAGGGTTTATCCTGTGTGGGACTCTCTGTGCTTCCTAGCCTTGGGTGACTATTTCCTTTCCCACGTTAGGGATGTTTTCAACTATAACGTCTTCAAATATTTTCTCAGATCCTTTCTTTTTCTCTTCTTCTTCTGGGACCCCTATAACTGGAATGTTGGCACATTTAGTGTCGTCCCAGAGGTCAACAATTCTTTTCATTCTTTTTTCTTTATTCTGCTCCTTGGCAGTTATTTCCACCATTTTGTCTTCCAGCTCACTTATTTGTCTTCTGTTTCAGTTATTCTGTTATTGATTCTTTCTAGTGTATTTTTCATTTCAGTTATTGTGTTCTTCATATCTGTTTTTTTGTTCTTTAGTTCTTTTAGATCTTTATTAAACATTTCTTATATTTTCTCAATCCATGCCTCCATTCTGTTTCAGAGATTCTGGATCATCTTTACTATCATTACTCTGAATTCTTTTTCAGGTAGGTTGCCTATTTCCTCTTCATTTATTTGGTCTTGTAGGTTTTTACCCTGCTCCTTCATCTGTGACATATTTTTTTGCCATCTCTCTTTTTTTTTTTTTTTTTTTTTTTAAATGAGTGGGGCTGTGTTCCTGTCTTACTGGTTGTTTGGCCTGAGGTTTCCTACACTGAGGTTTGTAGGCTGTTGGGTAGGGCTGGGTCTTGGTGCTGAGATGAGGACCTCCATGAGACCTCACTCTGATGAATATTCCCTGGCGTCTGAGGTTCTCTGTTAGTCCAGTGGTTCAGACTTGGAGCTCCCACCGCAGGAGCTCCGGCCCGACAAGGGGCTCATGAAGCAAGATCCCGCAAGGCATCTGAGGCAGCAAGAAAACCCAAAAAACAATAAAAAAATAGCAAAGTAAAAAGTAAAATTAAACTAGGAAACTAACAGGAAGTTGGGAAGAATATAAAAATAAAAATATAGATGAATCAACAACCAGAAGGTACATTAGTACCACAATAGTAAAAAAAAGAGGAGGAGGGAAAAGAAAAAAAGGGGGTGGGGCGAGGCCTTGGCTGTGGAGGGCAGGGCCTAAGCAGGGGCAAGCTTTGGGTGGTGGGCAGGGTCAATGCTCAGGACCCACAGGGCTGGAAAAGGCCCTGGAGGCTGTGGGCAGTGGGGCTTAAGCTCAAGGAGCAAAGGGGCCCGGACATGCCCCCAACCCCTGGTCTCCGAGGACAGAGGACCTCACCTGGGAGCCCAGCAGGCTTCCTGGGCTCCAGTGGGCGGGGCGAACGCCCGCCTCGCCTCTCCTGCTCCTCCAGTCTGGGAGGGCCCCTTCAACCTGCCTCTCCTGGTCTGCCCGGCCTCCGTCCTGTGCCCTCAAGGACCTGCGCAGCCTGGAGGGGGCTTTGGAGGGCAGGGGATTGGCCTGGGAGCTCACCCATTGTTTAAATTTTTAGTTTATTTTTCAAAAATATAAAATTATACATATGTAAGGTGTTCAGTGTGATGTTTTGATATACGTATGCATTATGAAATGATTACCACAATGAAACTGAAAAAAATGCCTTTTAATGGCTTGTATGCCGTTTACCTTCAGAGGCTGTGGTCTCTAAATGAAGCTCAGAGCAAGAAAAGGGAAGGAGAGTCTCCTAGTGGTTCAAGTTCTGTCTTCAGCCTGCGGGCAGGCAGGTCTCCAAAGAGTGGTATTCAGATTGAATCAGCTAAACCACAGCCTTTCATTGTGAATGTCTCATCCACGGAAGTCAGGCCAGAAATACTCTGTCGTGTAGCTGCAGTACTTTAAACCCAGTGCGTGCCACCCAATGGTCTCAAGGCAATTCTGGCTCGTTGGTAGGAAGGGGGATTGCTCACAAACCAGGACTCCACTTTTTAACCCTGCATAGATCAAGTGATTGATTTCGTTCTTTTGTTTTGGCACTGATAAACTTTCTTAATAAAAAATTATTGAGGAGAAATTTAAACTCATATTACCTGCATAGCACTGTATAGTTTTCTGAGGAAGATATAAGAAATCTCAGTCTGAGTCCCTGGTCACCAGAACTTTGTCATCTAGCTCCATTTATCTACGGAGAGGTTGGCTTAATGTCTTTTTCTTTGTTCTGTTGTTAAGATATAAATGAGTAGTGGTGTGATCAAAAGATAATCTCTGTGGCTATCTAAAAAGTTAGATCTGTAGCTAATTCATAATCTTGAATAATCTGTGATGACAAGATACAGAAACAAAAACGCGCTGAATAAAATAATACCACTGTTAGGAGTCATTTCGTTTGAAGTCTTTAAAAATGTACTTCCAATTTCTTTAAATAATTTATTATGAAATATTTGAGACAGAGAACTACAGAAAGACTCATATAAGGAGCACCTGTGTACCCACCACCCAGCTGAAGAAAGGAAGCATGACAGCTGGAGTTGCAGCCTGCTGTGTACCCCACCCTGTTGTGCAGCTTCCCCTTCCTAGAAGCCACTGATCCTGAACTCCCTGTGCTCTGTATAGAGATGTAAAGAGTCCCAATCATGGGACCGCGTTTCCCCATTACTTACAGAATACAGTTCTCACCTTTAGCTTGGTATTCAGAAGACTGTACATTCTGGTTCAGATCTCCTTCAGTCCGCCCGCACCAGCTCACCGTCTCTAGGTGCAGCCTGGGTGTGCCGGCACCCTGCCAGGTGCACCCTTACCGGCCTCAGATGCTGCTGCTTCCATTCCTTTGTCCCCCTCTTCATGAACATTCCTTCCTTCACCTTCTCTGCTGAAACCGCACCTAATGAATGACTGCTGCCTGCAGTTGACAGTTCTTTAAAATAGACTGTATTTTCGTAATATTTGCATTATGTCTCATCACAGTTATTGTATGCGCGCCTGTCTCTTCCACTACACTGTAGGCTCTTTGAAGCTGTACAGCTTCACCTTATGAACACCTACAGCTGTACCTTAGGAACAGTGTTTCAGATGTTGTGAGCAGTCAGTAAAAACTCAGGAGGATACTGATCATTGCTTTACTTTTTGACCATTAACCTGCCCTGCGCTCAACTGCTTTATAGACATGTGCTGTTTATGGTCTCTGAGGCTCCTAAGAGAAGTCTAATAGTTGTTAATCATGGATGGGACTATTCATGACATCGCGTATTTGTCAGTTTTTTGACATTGTCATATTTTGTATGTTACAGTAGTACATGTTTTAAAATATCAAAGTAATGTCTCTATTTTATCTTTTAGATATTGCTGTATGGAGATTTGCCAAAAAACAAAGAAAATATAATATATTTAGCAAATCATCAAAGCACAGGTTTGTATTTCATTTGCATGAAACAGGTTTCTCTATGCACAGTAGGAAAGTAATTCAAAGTAATGTTCTGATATTTTTAAGTGGATTTGTTGTTGTTGGTAAAACATGAATTTTCAATGCAGATATTATATGTGACCTCGTATTTTTGTGATTTTAGTTTTTTGGAAAATCAGGAATGTGAAAGCTATGAATTTTCCTTTTCCCTCTGCTGGGTGTATATAAGCTATTTTCTTTCCTTTTTTTCTCTTTCTTTGAATATCTCTTTAAATAGTCTATGTATTCTTCCTTTTTAAGTTTTGTTTTTGGAAGTGGAATTTGTGGATCATACTGTATAAACATTTTATATGTTTGCTTGTTAAGCTGCAGAAAGGTTGTACTGATTTGTGAGTGCTCATTTCCTTAAACACAGTGTTAATTACTAATGTCTGCAGTTCCTTTTGCTTCTTCAAATGTTTGGGTTTAATTATAGCTTTGCTGTTCTATTAGAGGAATCACAGAAGGCTCTGGTCTCCAGTATAGCACAGTATATACGTTAAATTAGCTCAAGGTACTTAAAAAAAACACTTTTTATATTGAAATCATTGTAGATTCACAAGGATTTACAAAAATAGTATGTAGAGTCCATTGACCCCTTCTCCAAGTTTGTCTCAATGACGGCATCTTATACGGTAACCAAACTAAGAAATTAACAGTGGTTAAGGTACTTTTTAGTTCTCCAAATAATTCAGTCCAAGAAACATCCCACTTCATGTTTTTTCAAAGCTGTAACTGCTTTTGATACACACTTCCTAAATTCTATTTTTATTACTTTAAAAAATGTGGTACCCAGAAGTTCAAAGCTAAAAACAAGCTGATGAATGATAACACCTGATTGGGAAATCACTAATGCCTGTGGCTGTCCTTTATCTTCCTCCTGTCAGCTGTGTTTCTTCATGGTTACTTTTATTACCACGTATACCTTCTGGAAGGTAAAGAAAGGTAAAGAAGTTGAGGTGCATCTTTCTCAACTTATCTTGTTACTGATTACACTCAGTTTTCTAGGTCAAGAGCTGATGCTCTGAAGGGTGAATAGGAATTTGATGTATCTGTGTTTCCCTGGCTTTATTACCATGACTGCTAAGACTATTTGATTTAATTACATTTGACTTTAGCAAAGCAACCAGCCCTGTGGTCAGGGTCTACTTCTAACTCTGGCCTATAAAGCAGCCTGACTTCCGCCTTTATTTTGACTGTTTCTCCAGTCATATCGGGCTCTTTACTGCTAACACAGTCTTGCTATTCCTGTTCTGCTGCTGATGGCATATGTCTACCAGGGTTCCAATATCCAAATAAAAAGGATTTGTGGGTCTAGGGCAGGGAGTGGCTCATGATAGCCCAATTTCCTTTATATCGAGCCCCTGGTTAATTTCATGTAGAGTTTTCTTTCTGTTTAAAGAATTCTCTCTTAAAATTTCTTGTTCAGTTTCCACGCCAACTTTCCTTTTTCCAGGTTTCAATGGAAATAGTGTTCTGCTAACAGAGCTTTGGTACCAGCACAAACCTGTGGAATAAGTACTCCCTGAACATTCCTGGAGGTGGGGGGAGTAATAAAAATAATAATACAAAAATTATAGCCACTGCTGTCATTTGTCTGCTTACTGTGTGTCGGCCTTTATATCCATTACTTCAGAGTGAGGACTTCTGGGAAAACATTTGGAAGGACACAGAGTTTTCACGATTCTGTTTGGACCCAGAAAGGTAAAATGGGAAGTGTGAGCTCCTTAGGCAGCCCGCGGCTGACGTGAAAACGTTGCATGTCTCATCACCGAGAGCCAGTCTGCATTCCCATCCTCTCACCTGACCTCTGAGTGCCTGGACTTTTAGTACCGGCCCCATACCAGTCCGTTGTTCGGAGTTGAGAAGGTTGCTTTTTGAATGCTTTAAAAAATCCATAATTTAGGAACATAACTAGATAGTGACTTTAAATTACTTTAGAATTATAGGCTTCAGTTAGAATGTGATAGAAGATACGTAGCCTTTTCCCAGAAAAATGGGCACATAAAACTTCGCCTAGAGTTTGAGGTTCCAGAGGCCCCTAAAGCTTATCCAGGGACATGGCTCGTTGGCCTGCTATGTTTAGGTACCCCTTTTAAAACCCTTTTGAGGTATTAAAAACCACAACCGAGTAATCTGAAAATGTCAGTAGCAGAAAGAACACGTCAAGGACTGCTGTGCAGCTTAGGCTTCCTTGCTCTCCCTCTGCGAGGCCTGCCAGAATACAAGAGTCTTTCCTTGGCCGGGCATCATGCCAAAGAATTGGCATTTGAATTCGTCCCTCTGGTCCCTTGTTTTCACTTGATGTGCCCTTGCTGTCTCTGCATTCTTAGTCTCTGTTAACTTATTTCTCTCCAGAGTCAGCAAGGCTGCAGTGACCACTATTCCTTCCTCTCGGCCTTCTTTAGCTCTCTGCTTTGGACACTCTGTGCCTTTTTAATCTCATGAAGGTTCCCTTTTCTTGGTTTAGGTGACATTTGTCTTGACTAACAACATGTATGGTGAGGCCTGGGCTGTGGAGTCAGACCCCGATTCATAAGCTATTCTGCAATAGGCTGTGTGACTGTGGGCAAATGACTTAGCCTCTCTGAGCCTTATTGGTCAGGTGTGAGTCCTGTCTACTGGTCAAGGCTTTTAGGCAGTTTCCATAGGCTAGCTCGTAATCTCACAGAGAGCCCGGCTCACGTGGGCAGCGAACAGTAGGGGTGATGATGATGACAGCTAATCCCGAGGGCACGCCGGATCCGTGTTAGGCGAGTGCTCACATGCAGGATCTCCTTCAGACTGTGGTATGCCCTTATGAGTTGGGAGCTGTTCTTACCTGATAACACAGATGAAAAAGCTGTCATCTTCTCTTGCTGCCTCTCCTCACTGCCCTCCCCTCCTCTCTTCCCAGTCAGTGGGAACAACGGCTTGGGCCGGATCACCATGGAAGAATTCTTACACAGCTGCATTTCTTGATCTCATGCCAGAACACAAAATGTGTGAATAGTTATTATAAAGGTAATACATTACATCTCAGCCGTCAGTAACTCAGCTGTAGTCTAGTGTCTCCTATCTGAAACCTAGTTGAGAATTTTAAAAAGTAAAAAAGATAATTGAGTAGCAAAAATTGATGGCACAAAGCTTGTGTCTTTTGACTACTAAATTAGTTCTTAAAATTTTTCCACTAAATATTTCAGAAGTCTAAGGGTATATCCAGGACAGTTCGTTACAACATGACATACTTTGTAAATTTTACACTTTCTCTTAAAAGTTATTGGAAGATGTATCCTAGGCTACCATATAACCATGTGTGTTTTAATATAAAAGTGAATTTTCAGATTCTTCCACATTTTAAAAACTGATTGTTTCAGGAAATGATACCAAATCTTGTTTTTAGCCTTGTGTCCCAAATATGTTCCAGAATATACTGTAGCCTGGAAACCATATGCTAAGTTCTCAGAATTTATTCTGAGTCTGTTTACTTTTACATTCGGTATAGTTATAACATTAGCTTGATTATTTAGTTTCCAAGACATGGTTAGAAAGAAATGTGTTTATCAGTGACTGTTTTAACTGATCTGAATTACAGGGAAGGGGATAGGGAGAGGGCTTCTATAGGGAGGTACATACTTTAGAGAAAAGTGATAATTGATAGTTCCATAGAGTAGGCGTCGCCAACTGATAGACACCACTGCTGGGGATCATTTACTACAGGGGAAAATCTTTGCATCACTCTATTTAAAGGAGCCATAATAGGAATTATAGATGTAATCATTGTACCTGTTAAATCGTCAAGAAAGAGTTAATTATGAATGATAAAAAAGATTAAAAAGAAAGATTTATAATAATTGATAAGACATTTTTGCAAAAGGATAATTTTTAATGTTTAACTTGGCTAATATACTTCTTTAGGGTATTCTGTCCAGTATGGTGCATTGCCTAAAGAATTTCACACAGCTAAGAGTTAATCTTCCTGTAATCCTGTGGAAAACTGTCCCTTTTGGTTGAAATTTTATTGTTACTCCGTTACTTTCTTGGTTTTTATTTCCTACAGGGTTTTTATTAAAAAAAAAAAAAAATTTCCTCTCGAATTTGCTCCTTTTGTTTTCATTTCCCTGGCCCTGAATACACTTGTGATCCAATGACTGAATCCTTTCACAGATTCTTATCAGTTTTTTTTCAAGTATCCCATCTTCCAGTTCATCTGCAGATACTAGAAAAGTCTCCCTCACATTTCATTTTTATCATTTTCATTCTTATGAAGAAATAGGGTAGTTTGCAGCCATTTATTTTCAAATCCAGATCTCTCTGGTCCTCCAGACCCTTTACCATTTGCTGGCTTAACTTCATTTTATTTCCTCTTGATCTCTTTAAATCATCTCTTCTGTTTGCCATCTTCTGTGCAGTTTGCTGGTCTCCGGTTCTTTGCTTTGGCAGGAAGACTAGTCCCAAGGAAGGGCTGCTTCTGTTCGGAATTTGCTCTGCTTGAAAGATCATTTAACAACCTATTTCTTCCTATAGGTTTTTTGAGTTTTTTCTTGGCACCTCACTTGTGCCTTCTTATTTTTGTTTTTTTTGAACTTTTAGTCATAACATATCTATGGAATTAGAGTTATTAGCAGCCTGGCTACGTGTCCTTTGAGTATGTAAAGAGCACATATGTGCCCAGCATAGTTGTAAGCTTTGAGAGATCTTTGTTTTGAATTCCATTATAACCTATTATTGTGTCCTGAAAGTCATTGGTCAAGATAAAATGTCCTTGCCTCTTGTTGAACATGTTGGTATATACAGAATAATATGACAGCTTCATTTAGCCATTTTTTTGCTTATAATTTCATGTTTTCTAGACGTCAAGAATGAGAGAAGCCTGTTTTATTTTGTTCACGCTGCTTTTGGATTACTCTGATGGTTTGTGACTTTTGCATTTTATCCCGGAGACAAGAAGCTTTTCAAGAACCGTAGAAACAAAAAAACAAAAACCGACAAAAAACAAATCTAAAAAACTCCACAGAATTTATATTTTGCAAATGTCTGAGGTTGTTTTAAAGTAATTTAAAAATTCTAACCCTAATATTTTTCAAAGCATATCCTCATACAGTCTTGTGAAGAGGCATTTTGTGTTTCTGTGGAGGGGATGCTGGAGTTCACCCAGGGTCACTTATGCACTAATTGATTCTGTCTTTGCAGTTGACTGGATCGTTGCCGATATTCTGGCCATCAGGCAGAACGCTCTTGGACACGTGCGCTATGTGCTGAAAGATGGGCTCAAATGGCTTCCATTGTATGGGTGTTATTTTTCTCAGGTAACTTTCCCATGCTTCTTTCTTTATATATATGTAGCTTATGAAAATTTTAGATTTTAAAATTTAGTATGAATATGAGTTTTTTTGGTTTATTTTTATGGGTTTAATAGTTTATTCTAAATTAACATGATTTTGTCTGACATTTTTAATGGTGTGTGTTTATATATATATATATATAAATCTGGTTACCCAGATTGTTAAATTAAATAGAAAAAATGCAAATGTGCAAAAACCAAACAAATAGAAAAATTTAAAGACCTAGAACTTGATGGACACTTACCTTAAGAAACTAAAAAGTAATTATCTGTAGGATATAAAAAACTAGTGAGCTATATATGTAAAGTGCCTAGCATGAGTGTCAGGTACATAATAAATATTCAATATATGTTATTTTATGCAAATCCTTTAAAATTACATAATAACCATCAGGTCATGGAACTATATAACAGGCTCTTTGATATTCAGAAGGGGATTACTAGCATTTTTCTATGCCTTTTCTGAGTATATTATTTGATATGTAATTTTCTAAATATTAAGAATGAAATTTGTATGGAAGACAGACTTGTTAATAAGACTTTAATAATCGATTAAAGAAGAAAAGCTAAAGTTATGGTGAGCTCTGAAAATATATAAATCTGAAAGTCATCCGCTGGACACAAGACAGTGGTACCACTGACCCGTGCTGCCCCAAGTCCCATGATCAGTGACCCTGTGGGGTTGGAGGTTAGTGTACTTAATGCCCGTCTCCTTTCCTCTTTTCCTGAGTCTTTTAAAGGGAAATAAAATTCATGTACATTTTGACAAAAAGTATTTTAAACTACTGGGTGCATGTATAAATGGGAATAGATTAATAAGTAGTGGACTTTATGCCACGAAGTAAAATTTTCTTTTAAAAGGATTTGTTTTTTACAGTTTATATGAAACAGAAATAATGCTATTCAAAAATAGTTATTTACAAGCAAAATACGAGGAAACAGACTCCAGTTTTATATTTCTTATAATTATTGTATTTATAAAATATTATTTTATATGTGTAGAAAATGCATATTAATATATAGACATTCAGAAAACTAAATATTTCCAAACTGCCAGCTTGTGAGCACTATAAGGTGCAGATTAACTGTAGAATTCAGAACAGAGATCTCTTTGCTCCCTCATCCCAACCAAAAGCAGGTGTTTTGGGAACCTTACTGTTGGGCTAAATTAAAAAATAAATAAATAAAAAAGGGCAATAGCGACCTTTTGCTCATTTAAGCCCTGTGAGTACAACTAGAGATATGTGTGACAGCTGTGATTGACCTCCACTCAGTACTCTCTTTCCTCCACTCTGCTTTCGTTTCTGGCTATCTTTATTATAACACTTATCAAGTCTCTTTATATCACACACGTATACATATTTTGCTTCCTCACTAATCAGGGAGTTCCTAAGGAAAGATACCTGGTCTTCACTTCCGTAGCTTCCATATACCTGGGAAAGAACTCAGATGTTTTTTAATTAAAATAGACTTTAAGGGACTTCCCTCGTGGTGCAGTGGTTGGGAATCCGCCTGCTGGTGCAGGGGACATGGGTTCGATCTCTGGTCTGGGAAGATCCCACATGCTGCGGAGCAACTAAGCCCGTGCACCACAACTACTGAGCCTGCGTGCCACAACTAGTGAAGCCTGTGCACCTAGAGCCTGTGCTCTGCGACAAGAGAAGGCACTGCAATGAGAAGCCCGCACACCACAGTGAAGAGTAGCCCCCGCTCACCGCAACTAGAGAAAGCCTGCGTGCAACAATGAAGACCCAACACAGCCAAAAATAAATAAATAAACTTATATATTAAAAAAGGAACAAAAGATGCTCCTAGTTCTCTAAAAAAAAAAAAAACTTTAATTAGCAAATTAAATGACTGGGAGGAAATAGTATGTGAAGAACAGACATCATGGCATTGAAAGCTTGGGAAAGTTTCACACTGCAATATATGCATTCTTTGGCTTTAATTCTAAAGAGTTAATGAAGAATGAATTTATTCTCATCATCCTCTCAGTTTGGGTAAATAGTGACATACATTCTGTAGAGCACTTTGAGTTTCTTCTCTGTACTCAGGCAAAATCCAGTTCATATGTGGAAGGAACCATGGCCAGAATCTAAGACCACCCTTCCTCTCCTCTTTATCCTATCCCCTCCTCGCTTCTCTTTATTTCCTTTTACTCATATTCTTGATTAAGACAAAATCAAATTCATCCAGTTGGTTAATTTTACAGATGCGTTCAAATTAGTAGAAAGGAGTACAAAAAATTAGCTGACCTGATGGAAAGTTTCAGTGAAGTGCACTTATGAGGTTTAATTAAAGCTACCTTAATTTTTATGAAGGTGCCTGTATTAGCCTGCTAGGGCTCTCATAATAAAGTATCACACTGTGTGGCTCAAACAACAGAAATTTATTTGCTCACAGTTCTGGAGGCTGGAAGTCCCAAGATCAAGGTGTCAGTGGGGTTGGTTTCTCTTGAGGTCTCTTTCTTTGGCTTGTAGACAGCTGCCTTCTCCCTGTGTCTCTCCTTTGCATGCACTTGTCTGTGTCCTAATCTCTCCTTATAAGGCTCCATTCCTATTGGATCAGGGCCCACTCTTATGACCTCATTTATTTTCCTAAAAGCCCCATCTCCAAATACAGTCACATTGCGGGTTAGGGCTTCAACATAAGAATCTGGGGGGGAGAACAGAATTCAGTCAATGACACTACGACATAAATATGTAGCAGGGTCAAGTTTCTAAAATTTCGAAGATCGTGTTTGTTGAAAGGGGAATTTTTAGTTATTCCATAATAAGTCATTGGAGAAATTGAGAGCTAAGATCCATCTGATTGAATTTTTGATTTTAAAAAAATGTATTTTTAAGAAAGAAAGCATTTTTAACTGCCAACAGAACTAAATATTCATGTATTTTCCAGTAAAATGTCGCACACAGTTTTATTTGAATTGTATTGAAAACGTAGGAGAATTTTCAGCTAGTGTTCTCTAGATGCTAACATATGAATGTATTAAATATAATTTAATTCCTAAAATGTGATTTTATTCTTCACTCTTTGGGAATAAAGTTAACCCTTTTGATGACTGGCCATTGGATATTTTAATAGTAAATACTTTTTTCCCCTCTTTTTTTTCTTTTTTTTCTTTTTTTATGTGGCAGCATGGAGGGATCTATGTAAAGAGAAGTGCCAAATTCAATGAAAAGGAAATGAGAAAAAAGCTGCAGAGCTACATCAATGCAGGAACTCCAGTAAGATTACGCTCATTTTCATTATTTTTCTTATCAACTCTCATTTTTTAATTTAAACATTAAATTAGCATTTAAGAATTGTTTTGAAAATATAGTATCCTGTGTGTAATAAATAATTCAGAGTTTTCGAGGCAACAAAACCCCTCTAAATATAGGTAAGCGGTTATTTTTGGCCACCAGAAAGATTGCGGCAGGCGATTGGATCTTTTGCTGGTAGTTGTCAGTGTTGACCTTAAAGAGGAGTAACAAGAACATTTGCTGTCTTCAGTCTATAAGTAGAAAACAGAACTGCGCTTGTAACCTTACGCTTCAGCCACTTCAGAGCTCCTCCAGTTCCGCTTCTTCAGTCACATGGAGTTTTAGAACAGCTATTTTCTGTCGGTATAAATTTGGATTTCTTGTATCTGTTGAGTTACTTGAAAAGTCAGGAAAAGTATGAATATCTACAAATGAAGAATGATTGAGTGTAAATGTTATTTATAAAACCTTGCTCCGCCCAGAAGAAATCTCACTATTCTCTTTGAAGAATGCTGATTGCTGCCCTTTGGCTTTTCCCCGGCCCTCTCGGAGGACAGAGCAACATGACTGCAGTGACCGCCTGAGCTTCATTCCCAGTGCGTGGCGTGGTTTTCTGTCCCGGTGCTCAGGAGCTTAGCTCCTTACCAGTTCTTTCCTTCTTTCTTCTTCCTTCCCGGTCTCCTCCTCCCCGCCCAGTTGCCCCCTCTCTCCACCTTCCGCGTCTTCTCTTCTTGCTCATGGTGCCTTCCTTCCCTGTGTGCTTGGTGATCTTTGTCTGCTCTTGATTGTACCTGGAAAATTATTTGCAGAAATCAGCTCAAGCGTAAGATGAAAGTGCCTTCCCCCAGAGAACAGTGGCATTTGTTTTAGCTGGGCCCCTTGAGGCTCCTCTCGTCTGGGCCCGCCCAGACCAGATGCTGAGCTTGAGGCTGACTGGACCACCCAGGTGATGCAACCAAGGTGGCAAGTGAATGTGAGGCCTGGATTGCCTGCTTTACTTTTACACCAGGAGTGAAGCCTGTGGTGCTCCCTCCACTTCTGGTTCACTCTCACTGTTTGCAACAGGAGGTCTGTGGCCTTCGATTTCGGTTCCCCTCACCTTTTGAGTCTCTTAGAACGAAAGTTCTTTTCTGGGCTTACTTCTGCTTTCCTGTGTTTGCTTTAACCTTGGTCTTACCATCTTGTCAGCTCTTGGATACTTTTAAGATGATGTTATATCCAGCTTTTTAAGTTGTTTTCAGTGGGAAGGTCAGTTCAAATAACCTAATCTTGGGCTACTGGAGAACTTTTCTGTTTTTCAAGGGCAAGAGTCTAGTGTTTTGATGTTCATGCAGTGATGCTGAATGGCCGGCTCGTGTGGCAGTGCTGTGAGCCGCTGTCACTTCAGGTCACTACAGGTCTGAGGCCGGTTTCTTAGAATCTGGATGAATCTTTTTTTTTTTTTTTTTTTGGGCGGTACGTGGGCCTCTCACTGTTGTGTTGCAGAGCACAGGCTCTGGACGTGCGGGCTCAGTGGCCACGGCTCACGGGCCCAGCTGCTCCACGGCATGTGGGATCTTCCCAGACCGGGGCACAA